GTCTTCCTACAAGACAATGTCAGGACTAGAAACCTTTGCAGACCAATTATATATATTATATTTATATATATTATAATTTGTCTGCAAATTATATATGTTTATTATATACATTTTTTAAAAATTTTTATTGTTATGTTAATCACCATACGTTACATCATTAGTTTTTGATGTAGTGTTCCATGATTCACTGTTGAGTTGCTAAATCTTTGTTACTCTTCCTTTCTGCTATTCCATTGACATATGTCAACTTCAGTCTGGAATCAATGTTATTAACGCAGGGGATCTACAGATGGGCTTCAGAGACTCAATGAATAACTAGTATTATATGCACATTGTAATTTATGTATTTTTCTACGTATAATAGAATACAGTATAATATTTTGGTTAAAAAAATCAGTTAAGGTTTTGGATAGCCCATCTGAAAGACACCGCAGATTTTTTTTTTTTAACCATAGTCAATCTTACTGGAACAGGATGTGCTGTCCCAGGTGAAAAAACGAAGGAATACAGCAGGAAGAACAACCCCACCTTATTACCTAGAATTTGCTTTCATTGTCCTATGCCCCAACACTGTGAAATAACTGGTGTTTACAGCGCATCCCTGCTAGGTGGCCATCCAAATCTGTATGAAAACTTCCAGCATCAAGTAATGCCCATTATCCACCATGACCCTAAGTCACTGTTATACAGCTTTATTTGTTCCAGTTTTTTAAAGTTTTATTTGTTTATATTTTGTGTATTTTGAAAATATTTGAAATGAGCTAGAATCAAGAACAAGATAAAGTAACAAAACCAGTCAAGTATGATTCAGTATGGAGATGGCAATTAGGGAATGCCAGGTAACTGCAGATAAGGGAGGCTAGTGTGTTTGAGTAAAGGAAGTAATCTTGAGATTATTGGCAGCAATGGAAAAAAAAGAAACCCAAGGGATTCCCTAAGCCTTCTGATCTAATGCAAGGGAGTAGGTCATATTTTTGAGGACAGCAAATATTCTCCTAGAATTATCACAGGGCTTTTTATACAATGTATATTTTAAAAGGCATAATGGATCGTGGTTCTTTGCCAGATGTTTTACCAGAAATGTGAGCATATTTCTTATAACATCCCTTAATAGAAACCGGATTCTAGGTTTTTTTTTTTAATACTAGATAAATACTACTTAATTGCTTTCCTAAGTCAATTTTCAGCTCTGCTGTCCCAGATGAAAGAGAGACGGAAGTGGTGGTCTCAAAGAAGTGAATTTAATTTTTTTCTACCCCAATGAGAACAATGAATGTCATTGGCAGATTTCCTAATCAATTCTATTGAGAGAGGAGGGAAATTCACATAGACTGGTACTTTTGCACAGCTATCCCCAATTTTCTCTGGGTCCAGTGATTTTCCTGTGCAGATCATTGCAAGATAGAACCTGGGGGGCATTTCAGAGGTCTCAGGTTTTGACTGCAGCTCTGGATGCAATGGAAGAGTTGGGGGGCCCTCCAGAAGCCCTATACGGATCTCAGATACCAAATGCTGGGGAAAGGTAAAGTGAAAAGGTAAAGAGATTTGTAGTACCGTCTGTTTAGGATCTCCTGCCCCCATAATTTTGCTGTTGTCTCTTGCACAGGAGATAGATATTCTCTGTCAAGTGGAAGCCAGCATTGCAAATCTTTGCAAGTTTTCAAATGATGTCTAAATTGATCCGAGTATGAGTCTTTCTGGAGATACGATTACACATACAAAGTTTAGAAGTAGACTTATTTGTAATATTATGACAGAAATGCTCTCAAGTAGTTGTTGTTTTTTAAAAAACTCCATAACCAGGATGCTAAGTTGGGAATATTCAATGAGACACTGAGTTCTCAAGAACATTTATCAAGACATGGGTAGCCATGTTATAATCAGATGCTGGCTGGCTGGCTGACTCTGGAATTAGAATATAGAGAGGTAGATCAGCTTAATGAATAATGTCATCAATTCAGTTAATTTTATTTTCCATTAGCTAACTGGCATAAAATTCAAATTTCAGATCCTTCTGAATGCCTAGAATACAGACATTTTTTTCCATCCATTCCAAAGGGATCCATATCCTGTAGAAACCTGTTCAGAAATAACTGGATGTAAGAGGTCACCCCACTCACCACTGAGAGTTCCTCCACCTCCATATAGAACTGAGGCCAAGCAGGGCCAAGCTCTTCCTCAAAAGCATAGCTATGGATTTGCTCAAGAGCCTAGACACACAGTAGTTGAGCACTCCAAGTTTTGTTTAATAAAATGGAGAACAAACTGTTGGGTTGCGGCAGACCTTAAGCAATATCATCTGCAGAGGAGATGGAAGCAGAGAGCTGTTCTGAGCAGAAGAGAAACCCTCCCTGAGTTAGATGGGCATGAGAACAGAATAAGGAGGAGAGGCAGAGCTGGTGGTGGGAGGTCGGCCAAAGACAGCAGCTTTCCTTTACTCTTTCATTTGTTCATTCGCTCACAAGTCAAACACAAAAGGAGTATTTTCTAACCCGGGGGATTCTTCTAGACACTGACAGGAACTCCTCCAGGTGCTTGGAATAATATGAGAAAAAATACATGAAGTTAAGGCCTGAGTCAAACCGAAATGGGCTTGGAAAAGTAGAATGGGACAAAATTGTGGAGAAATTTTGAATGCCAGACTCGAGTATGAGGATTTAGTCTTGATTCTGAAGACAATGGAGGAGAAGAGGGATCCAATTTTAAATAAGGGAATGACATATGTGGAGCCGTGCCAGGATCTATTTAGAAAAGAGAACAGAGCTATGGTGTGAACTTGGGGGTAAGGAGGGCTACTGCACTTGTTTATGTTAAAGGTAGTTAGAGCTGGAACTATACAAAGGGATGAAATTACTAGAGGAGAAGAAGTAGAATGGGGAAAAGAGAGAACCTTGGGAAACACTCATATTTTAGGACAGCAGGAGACAAGCTAGAGGAGAGCTGGGGGAAAGGATCAGGGATAGATGCCAAAAAGGAAGTTTTCAGGATATAGAAGCTCATTAGTTAATGGTGCTTTTGTATAACCAAGGAATACAGGATTGAGAAATGGCTATTTGAATTAGGTGCTGGAAGACCCTTGGTGACTTTTAAAAGAGCAGATGAAGGAATAAGTGGAAAATGAGAACTGAAGGCAATAAGTATATTCTACTTTTTCAAGAGCTAGATCATGAAATGAAGGACAGTAGTCTGAGAGAGCATTAATTTTGTCATTAGAAATGTTTTGGTTGCAAGTAACAGCAAAAGCAACCCCAGGTTTGCAGAACTAAAGAATCTGTGGGGGTAGTTCAGGCTTCAGGCATGGATAGATTCAGGGCTCAGTCAACACTCCTGGTATTTCCTGGTTTGACTTTGCTTTTTTGCTCTATGGTGGCTTCTTTGGTGGCAAGCTAGTTGTAGTATCATCAGCCTCATATCTTCCCAAGTTCAAATCCAGTGAAATCAAAAGAGAAGGCTTTTACCTAGCTGCTTAAGCCAAGTCTTAGAATTAGCTCCGGTTGGGCTTGGATTGGCTTGACCAGAGTCAAGGGCCCATTCTTGATGGGGATGGAGTTCACTCGTAGGTCCAGGCCTGGATGGAGCCCTAAGGAAGCACATGGACCAAGAATGGGAAAGGGCATGGTTCCCTGGAGGAAAACCAAAGAACTCTTGATAGAGAATGAAGAATGGCAGTTGGTAGCAAAAGTGAGTGTCCAAACACCAGGTCTGAAAGAAGATGGTTGATCGATCGAGGCCTGGAGCTTAAGGGAGGGAATGCAATCAAGGTACAATGGATGATC